TTCATTTCAATTTCAACGTGCGCACAGAATACACTGGCAGCGTGTATAGAGATATATATATTACATTAAGACCCTTGAGTTATAAGAGTAGTCATATATTTTTTGTCCTTAATCAAGAACCAGAGAATTCGCTAGTATATCTATGTATATCTGTCATGCACAGAAACGTAACAGAGTAATTTCTCATGGCTGATATTTGATTACTCGATGCAAGTTGATACCGACAGTCATGCCGAATGGTCCATGAATGCACTAAAAAAAAATCCAAAAAATATTATCATCCAGCATGACCTTGTTTGCAGATGTCTCAACTAAAATAAATGATCGATTCGTGGCATAATGCAAATTGGCCCATTCTGTATCCGCAATCTGTATAATATACAACCACCATAAAAATCTTGGAAATCAATACAAAAAAAAATTGCAAATAGCCTCACGTACTGTTTGATTCCATTTATGATTTCGTTATATAGAAAAAATAGTCGCGGCACGACTGTGCAGCGGGGCAAGATTGGACAGCGGAATCTATACGAAACTATAGGTACTATTCTACTATAGGCATTTAACATAGAAACTGCATGCACGTGCAGAGACTGAGAACGGAGGAGAAGGATACGTCAGTCTGTAGACAACAGCGCTAGAGACCAGGCGTGTCGCAAGTCTCCTCTAGGTGACGTCTGTCAAAACTACCCTGTCTTGTACCGACTTTTCCTAAACATGTATTTTAAAAATTAAATTTTATTTATACATTATAATTATTAGGGTTTGGTTATTGCGTGTTAATTAGAATTGAAAAAAATTTTCATTAACACGTACCTGTATACAGGTTAGGAAAATTTCATTATAAATGTCAATAAAATGGAGCATCCCTCGTGGCATTCAATGACGTCAGACATTTCAATATATTATTACACCTATTATGTAGCACGCGCAACTTCCTAGATTCCTGGAGGACGAGCATCGATATTCGGCACGTGACGGTATTTTTAATTAACGATACTCCCAGACGATTCGTCATTATTAAGAATAGCGAAGATCCGAGACCCTTTCGATCAATCCTCGATCCACTTGATAATATATGATCTATAGCATAGAAATAATTTATTCTCAATGATCGATTTTTATAAATCGTGCATAATTTATGGTGAATTTATACCTGAAAAATACGTTTGTTATTCATAAGTGGCAGAAAGCCCGTCGATTTCACGAGAAAGACGTGCTTGGATTATCGGTAGATATAGATATACTTATCATTGATCATGTATACGTAAATAGAACATTAATTTATTTCAATAACTCCAAATAACAGAATATCAATTATCGTTGAATAATACTGATCGATAGTATCGATAACAGGGTAATATTTATTCATCGCTTCAATTCAATCTTTATTGCACGGTAAATGGAAATTGTACTGCGTGAACACGGCTTCTCGCCTCAATATTTATTCACACCAGTATTCTGAAAAAAAAGTTATCACAACTTGCATAACCACTGTTACACGTATAGGTGATGCAAGTACTTGATTGTAATATGTAACTACGCACTATGCGTTTATTTATTCTCTATAGGCGATTCTACATAACTCGCGCAATATTGAACGACAATATGAGAACGTCACGTTAACCTATGATCATTATTCTGAACTGATCTATAAGCTGTACGACGTGTCACTCATCCACGAGAACTCTCGTGTGACTATTTATCCGATTTACAGTATATCCCTTAGTGTATTCAAATTTTGGGATACAGGGATATACATATGTGCACATATGAATAAACATAGATATATGCATGTATGCATATTTATATACGATACCTGATAAGAGTCTAATGCTTGAATAAATTGACCGTTAAGTATATCATCTGGTAAGTCATGTGTAAAAATGTCCGAATGGTTGAAAATATGAGTTTTAGGTAAATTCGTGAAGTTTCGTAATTACAGTCGGAGCTGTTCCTAAGATCGTTTTGAGATTATGTTTATAAATTTTACGAGTAATTTCCTCGGGGAAATAGTATAGTCGCTACTGATAAGGATGTCTAGCGGATAAAACGGGTTATCTGACAATCTGAATATTTTTTAATTTTTTTTTACTCGGCACTTTTATCTCCGTAACAGGAAACTTCGATCACGAAGAAAAGTTTCGCTGCTGCTCAGGTGTCAGGCGTCTAACAGCTGGTCAACTGGTGCGCTTCCGTTTCGTGATTGGGTATAGGGTCAAAAGTTCGTACGTCTTCTGAAAATGAGGTCGTGGCGGATTTGAGGTCGGGGAATATTTTAAATTCGAAGGGATCGTTTTATACGGGGTTTCCGTCGGTTTTACAGAATTTTCCAGGTAAATTGGATGCTGTAGAGGGAGCCGAGTAACACGGAAACGAGGTCGACGTAAGGTCCCATAGGAACTACCCATATTGTGCCTTTATACGTATACAGGGTTATTCACGACAAACGCACCACGTGGAAAGTTACTCTGTCCATTTGATTTCTATGGTGAAACGACTATAGTGCCACTCAAGAGGGCGCGTTTGTTCTGAATCACCCTATATGTGTAACTGAATTGACCCTTGTTGTAAAATGGCTAAGGGAGGATGTTAAGGGATCACTTGCAGATCTGTTCCGCCCTTCGTGCCTAGGGACATACCGGGGTACCTTGGGCGATACAAGAAATTGATTTATTTGGATAAATCAGAGATCCTTGACATGGCTGACGTGTCCTTGAGATTTTTTTTAGTTTTGTGTATTCTTATATTTTTTGTTGTCGAAATTGATCAGATATGCTAATGAGGTCTCCGGAGAAATGACATTATAGCAAGAATGTACAATTTTTGGTAAGGGTAGGTTAGGACTTGGGGTATGTTGTTTTATTGATTTTTAACTAGGTATATTGCTCTGTATACAATGTGCCTATGTATATGTATATATTGAGAGAAACATAAGCAAAAATGTTGTATCTGATACACGAGGAATTGACAATTTCGTAATGGACGGCTGTAATTTATTGTTAACAATTTTATCCGACACATAAAATATATCGTATTGTGATGTGAATGTGCAAGATAGAAGTAATTAATAATAATTAAATTTAGGGATGCAGAGGGGGAAGTTATAAAATAATTTTTTGATCTCATATTGTTTGGAATTATTGTTATCAGTCATTTTTTAGAGATTTTGAGAAATTGTTTTTATGTCCCCTGGGTTTTTTGTTACTACAGCAATTTCACGGTGATTTTTTGTCGGCCAGAAATTAATTAAGAAACTTTAATGAAAAACATCGAAGATAACGTTTATGCTCAAAGGACCGTACCCTTGCATTGTACTTAGCAAAGAAAATTAATAAACGATAAAATATAAAAGTGTCGTACAGCCCAGTTCGATTCATCATTCGGGCCACTCCCCGATCTTTCGCCCCCGGATGATGTATTTCGTAAGGGACGAAATGTTAATAGCGAGCTGTTAAGATATCAGAAATTTTTACACCTGCAGGAATTACCGATTTTTTAGTATTTAGATACCCGATATTCGGGGTTTAAACAATTTTCTAATTTATTTATAACGGCTTTTCTGATTGGAAGGAACAAAAAAATATATTGTTTGCTCGATTGCGAATGTTGTAAAAAATTAATGGATTAACGTGATATCAAACTTTGTAAAATTCCATAGGACATTTCTGAGGGCACTTCGTGCTGGTGGAAAATGTAAAAATTATCAAAAATATTCATCACGCGTAATATTTCCAAAATTTCTCAGTCTTTAGCATATGCATTTTAGGAGTGTGCGTAATTTTCGTCTTGAAAAGGTCACGAGTCTGTTGAGTTTTTCGAAAAAGTCGGTCAAACTTTACACCCCTCGTAGTACACGCCCCAAAAATACAGACCCTCACAAATGTTCTCCAACTCTCGAGAATGTTGAAAATAATAATATTCCCCTAGAAAATAAATCCAAAAACACCCATCTGAAAATAAAAACAAAAGCCCATAACTAAAGTTCAAATTTCCATATCGTCAAGTCCAAGTAGGCCAACTCTCATAAAATTCCCCAACAACATCCAGCGACAGCCAAAAATACAATCTAGCCAGCCGCCCGTCAAACAGCCATCAGCAGTAAGTCGCAATTTCCATCTCCCAACAAAAGTCAACCAAATGGCGCAAGAAGTCTTCGTAATGGCCGTGCTCCGAAGGATACACTTAATTACTTTAATTACACTTTCCCCATGAACAGCCAGTCATTAAATTCGAACAGCCAGCCATAGAGAAAGAAAAAGCCAGTGCCAAAATGATCAGCATGGCATCAATGACGTTGACAATGACATTTCACTCGGAGCGCCGGGACAAGTATCAGTAAAGCGGATTGAAAAGGAACAGAGGGAAGCTCGGCTATCTAGGTGGCGCAGCTGGTTCACGAAAATCGATACTTATCGTCTCTGGCTCGACTCCGACTCGCTTGCAGTCCGCGTCTCGTGTGCATGAGGTAAACACGCTCTCCCATGCCAATCACAATGGAATGATAGTAACAATAATTGCGAAAAGCAAACAACGCTTGGGGTGCGTTTATTAAGGAAGAAGAAAGAAAGAAAAAAAAAGAAAAAGAAACATGGTACGTGTTCGAGTTAAAGCCCGGCCTCGCTTAACGTATAATAATAATAATAATAATAACGGCAGTACTATTAATGACAATAATAACAACAACAATAATAACAACAACAACATCTACTTGTATCAGTTGCACGAAAGTTAAGACTCGCGGAGAGTTTGTACTCCCACTTGCTTGTATCTCTTTCTTTCGTTCCTCCCACCCTTCCTACAACCACCCCTCTCTCTCTCTCTCTCTCTCTCTCTCTCCCTCTCTCTCTTTCTCTCTCTCTTTCTCTCTCTCCCTCTCTAAGTTTCTCTCTTGGGAGTGATTATTGCTTATCCACACAGTGTTTCCAAAGATAAAAGAAAATACATTGACTTTGTATTACCGATGGTTGTAAGGTTGTTTCTTTGTTTTGTATGTGCAGTACGGTTTTGTGAATTACGCCCTCGAACTGCTGGTTGTGAAGACCTTTGACAGCGAGACATGGGAGGCAATAAAGTAGGTACAACAACAACGACAGAAACAACGATGAAGACGAGGCTTGTTTAATGCACTTTGTTCCGGTTCAGTGTGGACTGTCGTGATTGTCGCTCGATATTTTATTGTTTTACTCTGTGTTTTTGTTTCCTTAGTCGATGTTGTATACCGTTGTTGTTCTTGCGTTAGTTGCTTTCTCTTTGGAGCTTTCGCACTTGACTTTGTGTCTGCAGCGTGTACAGAGCATGGAAAGCGACGTCGCTCGTATCAAGCTTGTTGCTTTATGTGATTGTCATTACAATTTTTGCGGTATTTGCGTGATATCAACGGACTTGCCAATTGTAATTAGGTAATTCGAGGTGATTTTTTCGAGATTAATTAGTAGTCGCGGAGAGTAAACATTTTTGAAAATTCAAGGACGACTGTACGAGACAATTTTCATCTCCTACTTCTTGCATGTAGGGTATTTGGGACGCTAACGTTATTTGATTATGTGGGGATATGGGTAATGGAGAGGGCGGGATAATCGATTTTACCTAAAAGAGGAAAACTTTAGGATAAATATTTTGTGGTTTTAAAATAAATATCGTATAAACGGATGAACAAGGGTGTTTGTCAATTAGTATACAATTTTTAATATTTTGCACGAAAATATTTCTGGCTGTTACCGTACATATTGATTATTTATTTAATTATTTATATTATTTCGTAGCCACCCGTCACAGCTAGTTATTTGCACGCAATCTTTTACATGTTCTTCTGCGTACATCGAACTGTGTAATAAATTTTGTTTTTTCATTAACCACAATTGTTTTATCTTCTTATCGACAGCACGTATACTCCACTACTTTTACCACGAGTGTCGGAAAAGAGCAATCTCTCAAAGAGACACTCGTAATCTGAATCGCAAGCTATGTGCACGTGCTGTTTCTCATTGAAGCTCGGATACCGTAAAGAGAAAAGTAGTATCTACAGAATTCGCTGAATGAAACCGTCTCTTTTTAACATCACAAGAAGAGATGTCTCTTTTACGTCAAATACGACTGTGTCTTCAACCCTTGCACGTCTATGAAACGACTTCAAGTTATGAGAGTTTCTTTCAAAAAAATGTGTCTCGTACGAGTCATTGAATAGATTTTTCATATAAATATATATCTACACCTATAAATATATCGTGAGGTGGTTTCCAGAACTTTTTTCGATGTGTATTGGCAGTTTCCAGGACATCTGTTGTGTTCCAGGTCGGTCCTGGAAAACTTTTATGTCAATCGTAAGCTTCCAGGACCGATTGACGGCATCCACACCGAATTTTTCAAGAAATTTTTAATGCTGAATACTCGGAGTTGCGATGGGCTAAGAAGTAGTACGTTAGCTTAGATTAGGTTAGAATTCCTATGCTACATGTCCCAACGTTTAGTTTTTATTTATTTAAAAAAAAATATATTAGCTTGCCGTTGTGAGTGCCGCATGGTTTGGAAACTGCCACCTGACATATTTATATATCCATGTATATACACATATATATTCATCAAATTAGATACCTTCATTATAGAGTATAGCAAAATAATAATAAAACAGCGAGTGAAAATATTTTCAAAAATTCAAATTCAAACAGTAATAATTCTTTTGAAAATTCCCACGTAATTTCTTTAATATTCCGTTAATCCGAAAACGAATCGTAGAAACTCGAATTGATTCCCGGTAATTATTCATTCTCTAAGTTCTCATTTACATTCATTGCCAAGGTGGCACCCATATCAAGTAGAAACCATAAACGCCAGACCGCCTATACAAATACCAAAGTAGCTATTGCTTCCGATAGTTACGATCCACTTCCAATCTTGTTTACTTTGAATTTGTGCAACCATCTACAGAGTTACGAGTCTCGTGTCAGCTATAGCTAACACTTCTAACATACGTGGATAACGTCCGTGTCCGACTTGCCGCTTGCTGAGACGCTCAGACATTTATTACACCCACCCAGTATACACATAGAGTGCGTGATAAATTTGTCAATAAGTATTAAAGCAATAAACGTCTTGGAAAGATGAGTTTATGCCAAAGAAAATTACACCCTGTATATACTCATATGCACGCACGAAACGTACGTCTAGTACTTCGGAATCAATTAAACACATCATCCAGTAAAATTCTATTGCCTCGTTAAATTTCACCAAGCATCAATCATTTTACCTGCTTCACGTAAAACAAATATTTCGAGCTTCAGAAATATCATTTTCGCCGTCTCTTCGGTAAAATTGAGTCTGGTTCATGAGGCACAAGGGATTGCCGAGGGGTATAGTGAATTCAATTTAGTATTTAAATTTCATTTGGTATACAAGTGGTAATAAGGCGCCATTTTGTAATGTATATTTACGACGAAGTATATTACATACGTATATGGCTGCACGTACAAGTATTAATATACCAAGTTCAAGAAATTCTTGGGCTCAGTGCATGTATATAATGTATACTCAAGATAGGTAGGTACCTAGTATGAAATAATAACAGTAGTATATGGGCTAAACGGGGTTACCGTATGAAACCTGGGTACTTGACAGCCTTTACAGAAGGGCCACTTTATGCGCCCTAAATGCGGTTTCATAAGGCACGTAGACCTGGACATCTTTTGAAAATTATACGATGCAGATTCGCCCAAACTTTTTTGCCGCTCGGTATATCCTAGTTTATATATGTATGCACTTACGTATTATAATATAACTGCCCTAAAGCAGTGAGGTTTATTTTTCTAAATATTTTGTTTTATCCCACCATCTCGTGCCTTTTCCCACGTCGTTCAGTTCAAACTAATTACTTGGCTGCTCGTTATAACTTCCTACGATTCGTTCGAGCCCCGAAGGATTTCAAATGAAATTGGTGTTTAATTTCTTGAAAAAAATAGAAATTAGATATCGTAAATACACATTGTCAGTGGACACTGGGATATAGTAGAACGTATTTATTTTATTATTTGTATTTTAAGCGGATTTTAACGAAATATTGTTTAATGCATTTTGTACAGTTTTGTATTTTTTTTGGTGATTTTTAGTTATTTTTGTGCTGATTTTTTTTGCGAAAAATTTCGCACGACTTCGTCCATTTGATATTATTTTTGTATGGAACTCAAGTAGCTTTAAGTGTATGTATACCCTATGTGGACTTTTACTTATGGCAATCGCTTTTGATACTGTTATTCTTACTTATAGGGACGTCATATGTTTCTCGACACTTACTGTACACTTTGGTATACTAGCCCTCCGTTAATGGAGTGACCACACTTAAGGATACCTTACACTTCGTATAAGAGCAAATCGCTTTAGTCATGTGTCGAAACTACACGTCCCCTTCCAGCCACTTTGTGCCCGAAGTTGGTCCCTTGATAGCTTTCTAAAGTCTTAAGTGGCTGTAGTCAATTTTCCAAAGTTACGAAGACTCTCCCTCTCTTTAACTTGATTGCGAAGTTGTTTTATTAAAAAATTGATTCGATAGCTCAAGATTCGAGCTTATAAAGATACTTCTTCAGGATTCGAAAATTCACAGAGATTAAAGGTTTCCTTTGCCGGGAATAACTTTTTATTTGAATATCTTTTTTTTTAATACTGATTGTAAACCAGCCTTACTCTACGTTAGCCATATTGAAATATTCTTATATGAAAAGCACAGCTCTTATCTTATCTTTCTCTCTGTTAGGATGAGTCGTGAAAGTACTTTCTACGAGTTTCTCGATAGGATTTATGTCAGAATTTGCATTGTTGCCTTGACCGATAACGCGAAATACGTATTTTACAGATTTTACAAAGACGAGGAACGTGGAAGTTTTCTTCGCGAAATTAATTCCTGAGTAACCTTAAAGTTTTTATGTCTCGCATATGGTAATCAGAGGACGGAAAAGTAATTTTGCCAAAAAAAATTGCGAATCGACATTACTTCGTGGAGATGGGAAATGCATTCGAAATACGAGTCACGTAACTGCTAGATATCAATTCTAGCTGATGAAGTATATATATGTTCTCTCGGATATGGTAAACACAAGGCATTATGGGTAATTGAGATAAATTGTTTTTCAGCTAAAAAATTTGTACTTGCGCGTCGTATAATATTTGCGTGATTTTTATTTTTTATCATTACTTTTTTTTTGGTAGGTCGTTTCATATCTTTCGTCCTTGGCTTTAAGGGTCGTTGTTGATATGTATATGAAGAAAAAATGTTGTGTATACGAAGAAAAATAAAAAAGGTGCTACTGGCGTGATCGCAACACGTGACTTTCTCATCACGATTGTTACTGGCATCACGTTACGGTTGTGAAATTACCCGATGTTAAGAATTGAGTGATATAAAGTTGAAATAGAGAATTCTTTTAGTTTATTCAGTTTTTTATCGAATTGTATCTATTGTATCTACGTCCAGATATTGACGTACACTGAGGAGACTTTTCTATTGGCTCTCATACAACTGGTTAAAAAAAGGTCTGTACAGAGCAGACTAGAGCATAGTAATTTTTTAATCAGACTATCGATAGAAACATTTTTTTTTATTTTTCACATCTCAGGTAAAGTGCCAGAACGGATTGGTGTTTTGGTGTCAATTACAATACCAAAACTACATTTTATACACAGAAGACACACAACAAATTTCATTGCGATCCGTAGCCTCTTTGGAAAGTTAATGTGTTTTCGGACAGAATTTACCACAGACAGACAGAAATGAGTGAATGCTTTTTTTGGGATCTAGGACCCTCGAAACATGTATTTTCATCATAATCTGGGATTCGATTTTTTTTTGGATTGCAATACTTTCTTACATACTTTGTATGCGATGAGAAAGTAAAAATGTATGTAAAGTACCAATTGAAATCGAGTATAATGATTTTATTATTTCGAGTTTATTGATTCACGACTAAAAGAGTCTTGAATTGATAAATTCCAAGAGATTTGTAAACTGTCGTAACTTATCTTTCTCTTTTTCCTTTTTTCCCCAATCTAGAAAGGACGCAGCGGTAAATATGGAGGGACAATTTTTAGTGCGTCAGATTTACGACGACGAGATCACGTACAACCTCATTTCCGCAGCCGTAAATCGACTGAGTGCGTACAAAAAGTTACTTATGATAAAAAATTTAAGTAAAAATATCTCGAGCTAACAAATTCAATTTATTTTGAAAAATAAAAATAACTATCATTAAATTTGTAAAATGGCGAAATGTACTCTTTCTAAGAAATAATTTCTGATTCGTTGATTGGAACTTTCAATGAAATTGAAAGAATCGTTATTGCCGAAAAATACGTATAAAATATAATAAACAAATAATATTCACTTAATATTTTATGCTGGCAAAAATTTTTCTTTGATAATCTTTTTTTCTCTTTTTTAATACACAAAAGCGAATAAAAGGTCGCTCGCGCTTTAAAATTGGTCAAAGTGGTACGCGGCTGGTTCGCTACTATTGATTATAAGTTCCAAGCATCCAGGCTGAGGTTCGGTAAGCGGCTTTACTTTAACGCTTTTCGCACTGAGTAAATTTCGCTAAAGTTATCAGGCATTTTTCATGGATACTCAATGAATTAAGTAGTTTTCGGCAAACGATTTGTCTCCTTTACGAAAATCAAAGAAAAAGGGGACCGAGCCTGTCGACCCTATCAAAATTACATTATCTTATCACGTTAACTTAACGTTTGTCATCTATAGCTGACGTGACAATGATTTTGAATAAATTTTTCGCAAATTTGTCAAATTATCAATGCCACGTTACAGCCTGTTCGGATTACTGTATTAAATGACGTTACAGAGGAATTGAGATATCCGACGAAGCCTTTACTGTATTAATTTAATGATTTTATCTGATAATGATACTGCTGCAATTTTGCATAAGTTAAATAGAGCAAAGATAATATCAAAAATATAATTGACCCAAGAAAACCGGTTTGGCAAGCATAGCCATAGGAATGATCATGCATAATAACGTGTGGGTTGATAAAGACCTTATCTAATATAATATTACTAATTATTATCGTCTTACCGCGTGTTGTCATAATTAACCAACATAATCGCTCCGATTACACGGTTATCATAGTTTCAGATGATAATTAGTAATTTACTGAATGACTTAAATTTTACTCAAATATAATGTCAAATCCTCTGCAAAGTATTGTAATTTCATGAAATTTTTTTTTAGATATCCCAGCTAATGAAATTCTCGAATTGTTCGGCCGTACGTTCTTCGAATTTTGTCAGGATTCCGGATACGACAAAATCCTTCAAGTACTCGGCGCTACACCTCGGGATTTCTTACAGGTAAAATTTTCAAAATTTTTTTACCGACAGCGGGAGACTTGCCAAAGTAATTTCACCCGAGGCAAAATCAAATATCCCATAAAAGTTTCCACACGGTATATCCATTAAAGTGAAGAACGTATCAGGATTGAAATTTACAATGTAAAATTTTCAAGTCTCGTATTGATCTACACGAGAAACTTGCTCTATATATAAAATCCGTACCCTCTGAGACTTTTCCAAGTCTATTTGCCGTCTATATAAAGTACTTATATACATATATATACACGAATATATACAGCTCTATCTAAGACGTAAAACTTATTTGCCAATAGACTTTTCGTCAATAGACATAATTCCAAATCCCAATATAGTCTTGATATCGAATCTCTAAACTCGTAAGATTCCAATATAGAGTTAAATAATTAATTAATAAAAAATGGGCACAACATTTTTTTTTCAAATTCTCTTCTATCGGCGTATATATTAGCAATTTGTATATTTCTATAGAGAAGATTGGAAAAAAACCATTAACTTTCTTTTTTTTCCTAAACCAGTAATACAGTGTCTGTATAAGAAGTGAAAAGTTTATAAAATGTTACAAAGTCATTGAAAGATGCCTATTACCCGCGGGTACTTGATTAGGTCATCTCAGTTTCCCTGAAGGTAGTTCGGGCGTATCGGGCAATTACTATGCGAAAGTTTATAAAGTTGCTTCGCTGCTCAAGTTGAACATCTGCATCGTCAGTACAAAAGTAAACATATATATACGTATAAATTACGAGATATAGATTGGATTAGGCTAGTTCACTGCTTAGACGTCAATTATAATTTGTCTGAGAAACTCGTGTTAGCCTGTTACCCTGTTACTGTGTAGATGGGACACGTCCTCCTACGTAATCACTTTGGAAAGCCCGTAAGCTTCCCTAGCGCCTTTAGGAGACGCCATCGATGGGGGGGGG